TGGTTTCCTGTCGATCCTTGCAATCCTTGATCACCCTTAACTCCAGGATTGCCTGGAAAACCTGGTGAGCCAGGTTTGCCTATAACACCCTATAAACAATATTAACATTACGTTTAAATAAATGTGAAAAGTATATATTTAGATAAATAATTAATAATTAATCAGATAATGCATAAATATTTGTAAAAAATTACAAATTTTTCAAAGAATCTCAAGGTATATCTTAATATATGCAGTATTTCAATCTCTAAATTGTAAAGTAACAATTGCTTAGCTTACTTACGGGTTGCCCAGGTGGCCCAGCAATTCCATCGAGGCCTCTCAACCCAGGAGGTCCCGACGGACCTTCTCTACCTCTTTCACCGCGAGGTCCAGCTGGACCCTGTGTCAACAATATTCAATATTTATACAGAAAAATGTTTTATCTCTGTTTTTCATTAAAAATTACGTCATGAGAATACAATATACATTGCTCAACAAAATTAAAGCATTACCTGTTGTCATGTAAAAATAGGCAAATTTCAAAATGGAATAATTTCGTGAAAAATCATTGTATCGAAGTATTTAAAAAAGCATTTTACGGCTTGAAAAATTTCTACCTTTCAGATCATTATTTTAGAAAACGATCTTACTGATATTTTATAGAATTATACAAATATAAATAAAGATGCATCAAATCAAAATTTTTAATGACATTTTCAAAGTTCCACAGTGCGAATTAAAAATTGCATACAAATGCGGCATTCGAAAAATGATCTTTTTTTACTTTAATGTTGAATAATTCAGTGAAAAAAAATCGTTAATCAGAGCTCAATAAAAAAGCAAATTAAAGATAAAGATTCACTTTTTCGAATGCTGTAACCGCATTTATATGCAATTTTTAATTCGTGCAGTGGAATTTCACCAAAAAATATCGATCTGAAAAGTAGAGATTTCAAATTATAAAATACTTTTTTTAAACGTTTTGATATGATAACTTTTTATGAAGTTATTTCATCTTGAAATTTGCCTATTTTTTTTTTATAGAGTATAACAAACGATGTTTTAATTTTATTAAGTAGTGTATTTTTATAAATTTATTTTAATATTATACACATATTTATTCCTAATTATTTATATTTTATATTTTTTACATACCATCGGTCCTACTGGTCCCATCGGCCCAGGCGAACCCATAGATCCTTTTTCACCAGAAGTTCCTTGCTCACCTTTGACACCATCTAGACCTGGAAAACCACGGTGACCTTTCAATCCTGGAAGCCCAGGTATTCCTGGAAGACCACGTTGTCCCATAGCACCAGGCGATCCTGATGGACCAGTTTCACCATCTTCTCCACTAATACCCTATCGTTAATAAAATATAAAATATTTTATTTAAATATAATATGTAATTATGTATACATATGTAGTTTGTAAATAAAATTAAATAAATGTAAAAGTATTATATAAATTTTAAATATAAGAAACAAATTAAATATATATAAAAATAATCCTACGTCTTTTCCAGGCAATCCTGGTAAACCCCTAGGACCTGGCATACCAGGAGGGCCTGGAGAACCCAGTTCACCGGTTTCACCTCGTGTACCTTGAAAACCTTGAGGACCAGGAGGACCAGATGGACCTAATTGAAAGATAGAATATATATATTTTTTAAATAGCACATTAAAAACATAATTTAAAACAGAATTATTAAAATAATTTAAAAGATCAACGATTATTTAGATAAAATTGAAAAAATTATTAAAAATCGAATCGTCTACCTGGAGGACCTCGCGGACCCATCGGGCCTACTTGTGTTTGAATGTAAGATAATGCCTCTGGTCCGTACAATGATGCCGCTCCGGATGGACCTTTATCTTCATTTGCTTGAGACAAAGCCAGTTGTTGATAATAAAGAGATACCTATTATCAATATTTTAAATACATTAATAAATTATTATATTAATTATGCGACATACATATATTCAATCATTAATAAATTTATTATTAATAAATAACTCATGCGTATCACTTTTTAAATAATATAAATAAACAAAAAAACAATTTTAAATTATAAAAAGATTTCTTACATCAGGTACAGGTCCTGGAGGTCCAGGTGGCCCTGGGATCCCAGGCGTACCAGGTTGTCCAGGAAATCCTGAATCGCCAGGACGACCATCATCTCCAGGTCGACCAGGTGAACCCTAATTTATAAATATTACTTTTTAAATACTTGTAAATTGTTATATCTTTTTCACATAACTATTTATTATAACTATAAGTTTACGAACTCGTGGTCCTGGTATAGCCACAGAACTATATATGTTACTTTCACTTGGTAAAATCTCCGTAGGTAAAACCTGAAAAAACTAACAATCACTATTTCTTATAGAATTTGATTTTTTTAATTCTTTAGTTATCAAATAATTTGCTTACTGAATGATCCCGAGCAGATGTGGAACTAATCTCCTCTAAATTTGTAGAATAATCAAAGTTTAAATCTCAAAGAACATGAACAAAAACATTTTATTCTAATTATCTATTTATTTTCTTATTTTTTTATCATAAAAATAATTTTCTAGTTAATTTTATATATCTACCTGATCTACCATGATCATAAAATTGAGTTGTCGTAGGCGCTGGTAAATCTGTAGGTGTTTTTTCTCGCCTCAAAAATGCTTCTGTTGTTATTTCGAATTTCTCTATATTGAATAATTAAATATTATTTTTTATAATTATAGTAATTGAGTTACAATTGAAACTATTGAAAATAATTTTGTAATAATTTTTTGTCATATTATAATAATAAAACTTTCGCTTACCCGAAAGTTGCGTGATATCTGATATTGTACGTGATGGTAATATTGTTGTAGTTTCTACAAAAATAATATCTTTATGATTATTAAATGAAAAAAATTAAAATTATTATTATTAAAGAGAATTATTAAAGAGAATTTATTACATATAAACAAATATAATGTGTATCTAATGTATATGTACGTAATGTATATTTAAAAAAATCTAAATGTATATCTATGTAAATTATCGAATGTTATAGCATCTTTAATATCTGCGAAAAATCGAAAACTAAACCGGAAGCCATCTCTTATAATTGTGAGTCGTATTAAATTGGATTTGCAATTAATAAATTGAAATAAATGGTATTAATTAGATTACTCTGAGAGAGAGGATTAAAACAAGATTAATTATTTTATGTGATCCTTTTAACGAGATTAATCTGTAACGCAAAACTTCCGAGTCAATTAACGAGACAGAATTGAACAATTGTTCTCCATAATTATATTTTACTTATTTTGAAATAAAATTAGTTAAATAAAATAAAATTGTTATTATAGTTATTAAGTAGAATAATAATTTAATTTGCAGATTATTGGAGAAGACAACAAAAAATGATACAAAAGTTCAAAAGAAAAAAATTTGAAAATTAACTTTTGAAAATTAATAAGAATTGCTATTTTAATTTCAATCTTCAGCTAACACATTCGTGAAAACAATTCATAAAAAGATTCGATTTGTATTCCAAATGTTCCGAATATTCCGAAAGAATTTTTACAGAGTGTTTAAATATTTAAAAAATATTCGGAATATTATATGCACGAAAACTTTTTGTATAAGTACATCACAAAAATCATCACCCGCGAGCACTACGCATTCTAGCCGACAAAAAGTCACGACAGAGATATATTAACTATTAATTGGTAAATAAAAACCATATTGAAAAATATATAGTAGAGCGCTTATTATTTTGTTTGTGAAATGAGTCCTCAACATTAGGAAGGTGATACATTAAATGAAATATCCCTGACGCAAAAATTTTATGAAAAACTATAATAAATTGAGACAAAATTTTTAATTTTTCATAAATATTCGTAGTGGAACATAAAATATGTTGTTTGTTTTAAAAATCAAGAAATCCTTCACCTTTAAATAACGACTATGTCCCACTACGAATATCTAAGAAAAATTAAGAATTTCTCAAATGTCTCAAACTATGAATTTTTCTGTACTTTTTCGTAAACATTTTTTCTGCCATTTTTGACAATACAATTTTGTTTAAAAATTAATTCAGGGTCTTTGGATCTAACATTTCTACAAAAATTATAATTTTATGGAATGTATATATATAGAACATTTTTCGAATATATAATGATGCATAAATGGAATATTTAATATTTATGATTATTTAAATATTATATTATTTAAATCTTACATTTTAAAAAAGTATTTTGGAATATTACGGAATACTCTTGGAATTATTATTTTGGGCTTTTTAAGAATATTTCACAAATATTTCAAGAATATTTAACGTTAACTGAGTGATAATAAACAAAATTCCTGTTTTATTTAAAATAATCCTAATTGTATTTAAAATTTTGTGTTAATTTGAATTATAGAAACTAGTATTCAACAAATGTCGCGTTACACATTGTGTAATCTAATATTTTGGTATTAATTAAACGAAAATCAAGATATTTTTATAAGTAATACTTATAAATTAGTAATACATTAAAAAAATTCTTACATATGTTGCCTATATATACATGTGTTCTTATCGATGAAGAAAAAATTAGTAAAAAGAATATATTGTTAAATTAAAAGTTATTCTTTTTTTTTTATTCATTGTATGTGTGAAATTTTTTCGAACATTCATAAGACACTCACCGTTTTTTTCATCGTATTCGTCGTAGTTCTCGTAGTTATAATCATATTCATAATCGTTGCTAGATTGCTGATGCTCTTGCGGTTTGGAGCGTTGTTTCCTTAGTCTGTTTTTCATGGCGTTCACTTGATCCGGCAAAGGCAACAGCAACTGAACCACGAGAAATCCCGTGATCAGCTCTAAAGCCCGTCCTCTCATCGTGAAGTCCTTCTATCCGGCAGGGGTGGAAAAACTTCACTGGAGAATGGAGAAAATATAGATTCTAATTCCGATTCGCTTGCATCGCAAGACTGAAAGCAACTAGACTCGTAACAACCGGCGTGTCATCTATTTAGCAGATGTTCTGCATGATGTAGGGGAGGTCGTCATCCTCTATTTTACAAGACGCGGTTCTCCCGCTGTCTTATTCCATGATCACCCCCTTACTGTCCCTCCATGTGATCTGTGCACTTCTTTTTTTTCTTCTTTGTTTATTCTCTTTTATCAATGTTGTTATTTCTTTCTCTTGAATAAGAAAGGGAAGAGAAATAGAAGTGCGTGTAAAATCATTTAACAGGAAATACATAATACAGATAAGATTTTAAATGATTTTTGTTATATCAAGATTATTTTTTTATTTTAATTAGATTAAGTATAATGCTGATATATTGCAAATACTAAAGGATAAAATAGAATTCAACGAAATTCTTTTTTGATCAAATTTTTTCTTGCTTTTAAAGAATTTTTAATTTTATAAAAGTAAATATTATATAAGTGTGTATATATATTTTTTAAATCAAACGTAAGTCAAAAAAATTCATCAGAGAAAGTACTGATCAGTATTTACTGATCGGTTAATTTCGACTTGCATCTGTCCAAAAGTTTCAAGACTGGATTGAAGAAAAATTAAAAAACAAAAATATAAATTTTATTAATGAAAATTTTTAACATGGTCCCTCTTGATTTCAATCAATGCATTATTCAGAAGCTTTTATATAATCTTTTGAAATAGCTTTCAATACGCTCAACACATTAAAGGCTATTTCGAATCAATTCATTTAAATATCCAAAATATCATCAAAATACATCCCCTTTATTTGAATTTTTCAGAAATCAAATATTAAAGAAAGCAACTAATGTCATCTTGAGTTTGAATTTTATATGAGTTTGAATTTAGAATTTTATTTTGATTAATTTTGCTTTCCATGAAAAATCAATCTAGGAATATTGAAAATTTTTTTTTAAATGTAAACTAAGGTTGGCCAACTTCTAGATTTAAATTTTAGACAAAATTTGATAATAGCACTATTTCATTATGAAAATTTTTATAAAGGAAAAATCTAATGAAACTTACATAGAATATTTTTATATAAAGAATATTCATTAGATTTCGGTTCTTGAAATATATTACAGCGCCGTAAAAATATCGTACGAATAATCTAATATTGATACTAAAAGATGCCATAATTGTCGGAAAAATGGCATTACTTAAATTATACGTTCAGAAAAAATTAGTCTCGGAAGTCTTTTTAGACAGATTCTGTATATTAATATATTATTATAAATTACTA